TTTAAAATGGAGTTTTCCGGTATCTTTCAGGAAATTAATAATTAGATCGATCTGTGGGTGTTAGGTAGTGTTAACCATCACCCAATATTATATTAATCATAACTATAATATAATATAATCTTATAACCAATAACTCATAATGTAAAATTTTTTATAAAAAATATTAAGGCCCGGCCCGGGTTTAAAAATCTTAGGCCCGGCCCGGATATATTTAAAAAAAAATTTTTAGGCCCTGCCCGGATATATTTAAAAAAAATTTTATTAGGCCTGGCCCGGGTATCTTTAAAAAATTTAAAATACGGCCGGGCCGGGCTTGCAGGTCTTTGGTGAATATATAATGGAAGCAAAAGAAATAAAATGATTATGATATGTTTTATTTTGTAATTTTTAATTGATGTATGTTGCGTGAAAAAAAAATAAAAGGAAATAAAAACCTACCGTAAGTAAAAATAGAAAAAAACAAAATATATTTATATATATATAAAACAAAAAAGGATAATAGTAAAAAACCATTTCAATATAGGAGAATTAAGACGATTTAAATAGTATATTTCAATTTGATATTATAGATTGGTGGTCTAAGCTTAAATAAAATATTTTAACAATTCTAATAAATTTTGCTAAATAATTTGTATGATTTAAAACCATAAGGATATAATTTTATTATAAATATATTTTTTTTAAACAATTACCCGAGTTGCGACATTATTTTATTGCCATATTTTTAAATTGTTCATTTAAAACTACGAAATATTTTATACAATGTGAACGGTAAAACTTGATTTTTTTTTCTTCTTCTATTAATTAAAATGTGAAGAGTTATGAAATAAGTTAAATTATATAAGCCTTATTATATTGATCTTTTTAAAAACTATATTATAAAATATTAGGGGATTAATTGACACCGCCAAATCGACACTGGGCTTGACAAGGGGTGGCAACAAATCGGGATAATGAAGAAGTACAAGCCACTATTTAGGAGAAAAAAGCCCTATATAAAATATGGTACAAATTTAAAAACCAAGATGACAGGATAAAATCAAGAGATAAGCTACAAAGGCGGTAGCTAGGGCCAAAGCAATGGCATATGATGACATGTATGAAGAACTTCATACTAAAGAAGGGCAAAATAAAGTGTAAAGATTAGTCAAATAGCGAGAAAAGATTTCTAGGGATATAAACGGAGCTCCGAAAGTAATCAAAACTATAGATTGTAAATTGATAATAAAGGGAAAAGAAATAATGAATAGATGGAAAGAATATTTTCAGTAGCTTCTCAACTTTAATGAACACTCCCCATGTCAAAACCTTATACAACCAATAATAGAACAAGAAATAATCATATGCCTCAAGCATATTAAAAACAATAAAATTAGGGGTCCAGATGATATTCCAATAGAAAGCCTTAAAGCACTAGGAGATGATTGAATACATCTCACAAATCTGTACAATAAAATATTGGGAAATGAAGAGATACCTCAAAAATGGAGGCAGAGCTAATCGAAATAGAAAAGACTCAGTTTGGCTTTATGCCTGGAAGATCAACGACTGATGCAATCCACGCAATTAGACAAATGAGCGAAAAATACAGGGAAAGAACAAAAAGTTACACAAGGTTTTTTTCAATCTAGAAAAGGCCTTCTATAAAATCCCAAGAAAACTTATCTGGTGGGCGCTACGCCACAAAAAGGTTCCAGAAAAATATTTAAGAATAATACAGGATATGTACATGGGCCATACAACAATGATCCGTAGCACAACTGGAACTGATTTCACAATAACCGAGGATGTTCATCAAGGATCGGTCTACTTCTCTTCATAACAGTATAGATGTATTATCACAGTCTATACAGCAAACAGTCCCTTGGAATATTATATTTGCAAATGATATTGTGATATGCCAAATCCAAAGATGAAATGGAAGAAAGATTAGTGAGTTGGATAAATATCCTAGAAAAGCACGGACTGAAAGTAAACAGAGAAAAGAGGGAGCATATAGTGATAGGAGTAGATGAAACAGAAAGCATTGATATAAATGAATGGCAGATACGGCAATTGAAAGCTGCAAATTTTGGGCTCAACTATACAAACAAACGGCACAATAGAGAAAGAAATAAAGAGTAAAATTAATCAAGGGTTGTTAAAGTGGAGTTATCTGGAGTGCTTTTTGACAAAAGAATCCCACACAAATTGATGAGAAAAACGTACAGTATCATAGTACAAACAACTATTCCATATAGTTCGGAAACATGGTCAACTAAAGAATCAGACGAGAGAAGTCTACAAACAAGGGGGATGAGAATGCCGAGGATAATTGCTGGGTTATCAAGAAAGGATAAGGTGCGAAATATAAGTATACTAGGAAGTTAGTGTCTATTAAGACTAACATAATGGCGAAGAGACTTAGGTGGTGTGGGCACACAATGAGAAGGCCTATACACTATATAGGAAATAAGGTTGAGAGAAGTGATAGGCGTACTTAAAAAAGGAAGGCCAAAACTTCAATGGGGCCATAAAGTTGCAGTATAAATTAGATAAAAGAGATAACATGGATAACATAAAGTGGAGAGAGATATTGAAGGAGCTTACCATCAGAAAAGGTGAAAGCTAAAGAAAAGAAAAAAAATTAAGGAAAATGGTATAAGGGTCATAAAAACATTGTAATAAGTGTAATATATTAATGGACTAATATTAATAATTTGCTCGATTTTATATATTTGGTTTCAAAATTAATTTTTTTTATCGAAATTTTAAAATTAGTAGATGGATCATTTATTGAAGCTTGTTGATAATGATATTTTTTTTATAATAAATTATATTTTTTGTAATATTTTGATCTTTTATATGAAGAAGGTATCATTATTGGAGATTATTACAATTATGATATGGAATGACTTTACATTTAAAGAAAAGTGTAATAAAAATTACCATATAGCACATCTAATCAAAAGTGTATTTAATTTACAATTTATATGTAAAATATAATTAAAACCAATAACTTTTATTAAGAAAAATATATATAAATATTAATTATGAAAAATATAATTAAAACCACCTTTGCCATATCCCACAAAAATCTGTTATATTGAGTCAAAAACTTATATGAATTTTTGAAATATTGTTGCGAAATGGCTTAATGACAAAACAAAGTCAAATGGATCAGCCCGATAGATACCATAAATAATACATGTGGTAAATGAATTCAGTTACAATACAACGAAAAACAAAATAGCGAAAAATTGGGAATTTCGCTGATATTTCCTAGAAAGTTTTTATAGTAAATTTCAAAATTGATATTGATATTGCTAAAATTAACTTTTTTTTATAAAAAATCTCTAAAAATGGACGAAATATCTCTTTTTCACTGTTTAGTTCTTCCGCTATATCGGACTCTTACCGTTGTAACTATTTTCTTTCCAAATTTAAATGACAGTATTCCATAAATATGTTTTTACAAATTTAAGAATATCACGTGAAAACATTTTAAATAATAGAACAATATATTACATAGTATGTGCTATGGGAAAAAATATATTCTTTGTTTTTTAGGGTTTTTTTGTCTATTTTTACCACGAAAGCAAAAACTGTATTCCGATTCATTTAAAACAGTTGTATCACTTAAGTTGAACATAGACCACTATAATACTCGCACGACGAGATGTGGATTGTCATTAGTGACATATTCTTAAATTTTTTACTAAAAATGGAAGAGGACCGCCATATTTAAAAACAAAATAAGTAAACTTCATTTTGTTAATAGAATCGTCATTTATGATAATGTAATTATTTTTTTAGTGGGTCTTTAATTGAATGACCATTAAGGGTAAAAATATGGTCATTTTTCAAAAAATCTGAACCCTTGATATCTCAAAAAAATATAAGCTAGTTGGGATGCTAACACATGACTTTGTTTGCATCAAAAATGGTTATACCCAGATTCCAAGGTGTTCTTCGAAAATGACATTTTTTTGATTGATTTCACATGGAATGATCCTATTTTTAAAGGATGAGAGAGAGAGTGGAGACCGAAGATTTAATGAATTTAAATGACTGAATAAAAAAAATTAGTTAAAAAATAATCTCTAATTCAATTAATACATGGAAGATTCTCTTAAAAGTATATATATTAGTGTCATAAACTGTCAATAATAAGATTTTCGCAAATATATTATTTAACCATTAGATGTCAATCAAAGATTGTTAAATTTTGATTGGGCATAATGATATAAGGATTATTTATTATTATTAATAATAGATACATTATTTTAATTATAAAAAATATAACCACTATGTGTTTTTAACGTATATTATTTCGTTTCCAATTTATTAAGAAACTAGCAGTATAATAAATAAAGTGAGTATTATTAAAATAATTAGGTTTTACTTGATTGTGAATGTAATTTTACTAATATTTTAATGATTGATAGCTGTCAATACTTAGAATGGTAGATCCTATAATATCATGATGACGTATATTTATATTTTTTAGAAATAATGACACAAATAACAATTGTTAAATTTTTAATAATAAAAACAAAATTTTTTTCTATTGTGTATTACCATCTTGGGACAAAATTTATATATATACTTTTTTTAAAATATATATAATTTAAATATTCCAAAATCCGAGTTGGATCCGTAACCAATCCCGCGAACCCGAACCGAACGCATTTCAACCGAACCCGGCTAAAATTTTTACCGGGTTCACAACCCTGATTAATGACAATATTTTAATTGTTGAAATATCAAATATTTTCTTTTTATTTTTAAAAAAAAATATTGATATAATATAATGTCGATTAATTTAAATAAAAATAAAATAATGACCACAAATGACAACTTCTCTAAAATTTTAATAATAAAAGCAAAAAGAAAATTACATATTGAAATATTTATTGTACCATTTTGGGAACCTAATATATACCTTATATATATATATATGAAGAAACATTTTTGTTACTATATTTTAAAAATTTTTATTAATTTTTTTAAAACAAAAGGAGAAGAATTCCGACTCAGATTTTGGAAAGTTAGGAAGAGTTTATGGAACACGATGTAGGACGGTTATTTTGGTAGATAAAAACGGTAACGTTGATATAAGAGAGGCTTCGCTCAAGCCCGAATATTTACGCCGATTTGGACAAGTTAAAATTGACTGGCAAACGGGAATCAACTCGGAACAGGAATTTGATGGCGAACAATATTCGTACAACGAAGCCGATTGGGTAGTTACTAACGTTAGCTTTAAAATTGGCGAATAAATTGTAAGTGGGGGTCCTTATATACGGGCATCTTCTTTATCTAGATTCTGCGCTGTCACTCATTCAAACATGATCGAATATAAATTATAAAATACATATACTTGTTATTTGTTCGAGCCATGATATAATGTATGTTGTAAAGTGTATAGAGAATATATATAATTTTCTAATTAAAAAAAAATTTAATGATTATATTTTTTTTCGTAGATATGCAACTATTCAGAAATAGGGTTTTTAAAATAGCCCGTCGAGTCGATTCTTAAAAACGACCACTAAAATTTTTAGCCATAATAATATATGTAGGTTTGGAGATTTCGATCATAGATGACAGAAAGGTTTGGACCTCTATTTGCCAAATCTCGAGACTTTACACAATGTTATTTTGGCTAAATTCTGAATCGGGCTTTTTAACAATTTTACTTTAGGAGGTGCCAATTTCAGGGCCCGTTCTATCTATTTGTAAGCACGACTTTTATTAGAAATACTTTTTTTTTGTCCCCGGTCTGGATGCATAAGTAGATATCAAACACAATTGATTTTTAAAACGGCGTTTGTAGTAATAGATAACCGTAGAGGAGAGTTATAAGAACATTGACGTTGGGAAAGGGAAAAATAGATTATGATATTAAAAAATGTGAGGGGCAGGAAAATTTATACAAAAAAATATTTAGCTAGCCAGAGTAGATTTTTTTAAAAATATTAACGGGCGGAGCAAATTTGGCAAAAATCTTGGCTACGATATGTGAGGCATATATGTGATCATCTCTATATTTCGAAAATGTAGTATCATTATCGTTAAATACAAGTAACAATGTTTATTAATGGTATTTTGTATTGTAGAAGACCTAAGGCTTAAAACGATATATTATATTATATTTAATATTAAATTGATGTTTTGAAACGTTATATACATTAATTTTTTTTATTTTAATATTAAATTGATGTTAATTTTGTATATATACTTAAATGATCATGATTACTTTCATTTTTTTGTTTTCTTGATCTTAGTTGAAAATAAAATCGTCATTCTTCCTTAATTATTCAATACTATCGCCCACAATTTATTCTATATTATTTATTCTTGTTCATTAATTATTATGAGATCTTGCATTTCCATTGTTATTTACAGTTGATTATTTGTTAGAGAAAATATTTATATGGAGAAATCTTTTACTTTATTTTATTAATATTTTTTGAAAAGGTTTTGATTCAGATTAATGGTTCATTAATTTTTTTTTCATTTTAATTTCCATCGTTGATGAATAAAATTAACTAAATATATTACATCAACATTTTAATAAAGACTGGTTTAAGTCTCTAAGCAATTCATCTAAGTTCCCATCAAGAGTATTAAGATAACTGAAACATGTTTTCTTAAATAAAATATCTTTGGCAGAATAAAAAATATATATTGTTTACCATATAGTCAAAATATTTCACTGAGGTATTTTAATAAATAACTTATTAATAAAGCTCCCAGGACTATTATCTTTAACAGGCTCTTCCAAGCCTTCAGCCTCTAGAGTATTAATAGGGATTTCTAACTTTTTATTAATTAATGAAATTGTTATCAGCTATGGTAGCATAAACATTGCTAGTTCTTCAACATATAAAGACTTATTTTTTAGAAATTAACCCTTTAATCGACTTTTTAAAATAAAACTAAAAAAATTTTTTATAAAAAATCTTCATTTATATACACCAAGGATGTAAAATTTTTATTTCGACTTTTATTTTATAGTATACAGGTAAAAAAAAATCATGATACAATTTGGCATCATTGAGCGAAATGCATGTATATAAAAAAATATTTATTTATTATGAAAAATTTAAAAAATTTGTTTCCTAATTTAGCATAAATTTTTTCAGACATAGTCCTTGAATATGCGATAACACATAATTTACACCTTTTTCGAGTCTTTAACGTCAGTTATTATCTGAGGTAACTTAGATCCTTTTTCATTTGATGGTCTCTCTATTTTTCTTTTACTAATTTTACCTGCCATTAACAAGGCAGGAACTATTTGAGATTTAAATGTTATAAATTTTATAAAAGATTTTTCATTTTTTTGTAGTAATGTCTTCACAATAATCATGCATTCATAATGCAGGTATCTATCAAATGATATTATTCAAGTGATATGATGTTGGAATATTATTTAGGGGATTAGAAATTTTTTTTGAAAATGTTGTATCAAATGATTCAATGTTTTTTAATACCCAATATTACTGAGAGTAGGAAAACTAGGACCTTCATGAACAATATCAAGTTCTATGTGGAGTGCATTTGTGGGCGAATCTATATCTATATTGTCAATAGGATGATTAAAATTATCCTCACTATTATCAATATCTGTTTCCAAAATATCACCTTCAATTATAATTATTTTATTTGACATCTATAAAAAATAAAATTTATTCAATGTTAATAAAATAACTTATTTAATTCCCAATGAGTTTTGGCATCATAATTTTAAAATCATATTTACAAAAATAATTAAAATTCTAAAAAAATATAAATTCATGATGACATATTTGAATATTTTGTCTTTATAAAATAAACAGTTTTCAAAATTTTTCAATTAAAATATATTTAAATAATATGTAAAATCAAGTAATTCAAAAAAAATCGAAACGGAAATATAGTCAAAATTTACATCATAATAAAATAAAAATATTTTTTTTTTATTATTGATAAAATACGATTGACATTTGTGTATTTATTTAAAAATGTTAAATTAAATCATTGAGTGGTTTTCAGCGTCTGCATGAGCGGGAGGGGTAGGAGTTTGCATCCTATTTTTTTGAGGGGGTAGGGCTGCTTTAATGGGGGTGGATAAATTTTTTGGGGGGTTATCTATTAAATTTTGAGATGAAATAGGACAAAATTTATTGCTGTAAAAATTAATACTTTTATTATAGTATTATTATAATACAATTCATCGACCAAATCTATATATTGCAAATGTTTACCAAATTAACTATCCAGTAGCGTACGCAGGAATTTGATGTGGGGGGGGGGATAATTAAAATTTTTTAAAATAAAATTATTGTATTTAAAAATATCAAGCATAAATTTATTAGGACTAATAAATATTTATAATATACAAATTTAAATTAATATGAATTATAAAAAATTAAATATATAAACCGATATATAAAAATAAATTTGATTTAAAAAATATTAAACGAATATCCGAGGGTATATAAATACTTTAAATAAATCGGAATTATAAAATATTAAGTGGATATAACCAGGATATGATGACTATAAAATAAATAATCCATAATAGAAATTTAAATTTTTTTGAGCTTTTAAAATTTATATATAAAGTATAAAAAATCTAAATGTTGGAAATATGAATAATTATATTTTTTATGTAAAAGAAAAATATATAAGACATTAAAAAATGATAGCACAAAAAATATTATAGAAACATTATATTTTTCTAATGTAAAATCCAATCTTCGTTGGGAGGGAGCTAATTTTTCAATTATCTCATCCGTGTTTGGCGTCAAATGCCTATGAATATTCAAAAGGGCCAGACCATTCAACCTACTTTCAGAAGTTGTACTTCTTAGGTACGTTTTTAATCTTCTTAAAGAAGAGAATGTTCTCTCATTAGTTGCAGTTGCAGTACTAATGAGAGTTGCTAATATATATAATAATTTCAATATATTGGGAAAATAATCTAAAAGATGTTTGAAATGATGCAAAGCATCATAGCATTTTTGGGACTATATCAACCATAGTTAATCTTTTATACCATAGTTGGCATTCAGCTAATAAAGCATCATGAGATACATTAATGTCTTCATGATAAAAATCTTCCAAATATTTTATTTTTTTTCTATCACCATCTGAAAAAGGTTCAGAGGGCTTTTGCGGAAGTAATATCTGCAGATTGATAAGTGTTTCTTGATAAATTAAAAACCTTTCATTTACTTGGGTTATAAATTCCAAAAGAGGTATAAAGGCATTTATTTTATAATATTATTTTATTGACCCTATATTAATATTTGGACGATAAGTTTACTGTAAGTCGAGGGAGACAAATTTTGAACTCGTATAGCTCTGCTTTTGATTCAACATTAAAATATAAAATATGAAATTCCTCATCAGCATTAGCATTTCTTTGAGTTCTAATAAAATTGTCTGCTATTCTCATCATCTCAATCAAATCAATATCAGGTTTTTGAAAAGTATTACATAAAATAGTTGTATAATTAATAATTTATTAATACATTCTAACGCGAAAAAATAATTTGGAATAAGTATTGAATTAACTTGCTTGCTTCTGAAGAAATATCTTTTTCAGACATTGTGATATTTCTATAAGCATTAATAATAGGCTCTTCTAACTCGATAAAAGCTGTTACTGCTTGATGTCGAAGACTCCATCTTTTTGCAATTTTTTTTCTCCTTGTTGGGCAAGGAGTTTCAGATATAATTCTGTTCAAAATATTTGACGCTTGGAGTATCTAAACATCTCATAGATGCTAGATATTTTACCTGATATAAATATAAAAAATTTAATTTAATAATTAAAAACCTAAGCAATTTGATATCAATGGTAAAGAACATGAATCCGATATTGCTAAGTTGAGTGAATGGGCAGCACAGTGGACATATTTAGCTGTTGGGCATTTTTTTTAAAATAAATGCCTGAAGCCCATTGAGTTGTCCACTCATTGCACGTGCTCCATCATACCCTTGCCCACGTATCATATTTATATTTAGCTATATTTTTTAAAATAATTGTATAATAAGATTAATTATTACTTTTAATTTTTTAAGATTCACAAATATTACATCAGCTAAAGCAGACCCAGTCATGCTTGAAACAGGAATAAATTGGAGAAACATTTCCTTGATAATGTTTTTATGAGTATCTACATATCGCGCACACAACGACATCTGCTCAATGCCAGCAATGTCCGTGGTCTCATCTGCTAAAATTGAGAAGCATGGGGCAGAATTGATTTCAACAATCAATTTTTCTAAAATGATATTGTTGCAAATATCAATTATCTCATTTTATATTCTAGGGCTGAGATGTAGCATTTTTATTGGTACTAATGAGGCTCTCCATTAATACAGGATCTCCTTAAATTTTAAAAGTCCA